TTTAGACATAGAAGCAGCAGTGTTTTGTCTGTGCACATGCACGCTCACTCCTGCACAGATAACTGTTCCACTATGGCTCCTCCAGGTGCTCCATTAAGAAGCTGTTTGTCTGTGCTGGTCGGGACCCAGAGACGGGTAGTAAAAAAAAAACCAACACCAGCCAAATTACTCTGCAGAGATTGTTTAGCTCGGCTTTGTTACCAGTGTTTTTCTACAGTCTGTGTCAGCAGCGTAAAACAGTCAGCCTCCAACGTTAAAACCCAAGCAGACATTTAATTTTCTTTCATCCTACACATTTGGGCATGAAATCAGTTTAGTGGAGAAAAGGAATGAATTCCTCCCCAACTCCTGCTGCGAAGAATCCGTCCTCACACACACACACACACACACACACACACACACACGTACACACAGAGGCAGCATGGAGAGGCTCAAGGTTTGAATCGAGGCATCCTGTCTGTCTTCTAAAGCACGTGTCAGGTTCATTGTGTAACGGGGGATTCAATGACGTCACCACAGCCCCTTCAGTCCAACGCCTCTGCTTCTATTTCCCTACACACACACCACACACACACGCACACATGCACACACATGCACACTCACCAGCACTGGGGGGGGCTCCAATTCCTCTATGACTCATCTTTGCTCCTGTCTGACGCAAGACCATGACTGGGTCTCTACACTACCCACCCCAACATCACACACACACACACCTCTCTGTCTTTCCTGGATGCTGAAATATGGCTGGATCACTGTGTTTTACCTCCCACCATGCTGTTCCTCTCTTCTGCTTTGCTGTTTCCCCCTGTCTGTCTACCTTTCTGTCCTTTTCTGACATTTCTCGCTGTTTCCCCGTCTCTGATATCCTGTTCTGTGGATGTCTAAAGCTGCAGTATGTGTTGTTATTGAATATCCTGTACTCTGTATATAGGATGCTTTGCCCGCAGACCTCTCCTCTCCTCTCCCACCTCAGCATGTGTATGTTGCTTTATAGCTCTATTACTGCCTTTTCTGCCTTTGTGTATTTATTTATGTCTTGTTTTCTCCCTCCCTGGCCTCCCACCCTTTTTCCTCTCTCCCCTCTCTCTCTTTTTTCTCCAGCTCTTTCTCTCCTTTCATCTCTTTGCCACCCTCCCTCCCGCCTCCGTCTCCCACACTTCCATCCCCCTCCTTCTCCCCCTCTCTTTCTCTAGTACTGCCTCGGCATACTAAACAGAAGTTCTCTGATTACTTTTCTTCCTGAGAAACGTTGGATACAACTCCGAGGTTCACCGCCACTGCCTTCACACGTTGCCATGACTACAGCCTCGGCGCTTAGCTTTATTGAGGAGGGGTGAAAGGAAGGAGGAGGAGGAGGAGGAGGCGGCGGCGGGGGGTGGGGGGGGGGGGGGGGGGGGGGGGGGGGGGGGGGGGGGGTGGGGGGGGGGGGGGGGGGGGTTGCTGTGTGTCGTCACACAGAGATAGTACAAAAGAAACCCACACAGGAGAGACCTTAATCTTTTTTTTACATCTTTAATTTGATGCCACACACAACTAGTTATTTCAAATTTAATCTCAACGGTGTTCAGAAAGAGACTAATGAAAAGTCAATTTTCCTTGTGCTTAGAATACAGATTGATTGTGGCCATGTGGGTCTTGTATTTTTGACCTTTTCAACACTGTGGCTGAGCTGTGCAACCCAGAATAAACGTTTGCTTTGTACGTTTCTGCAAACCACGGATATGATACATTTGTACATTATGTTTTTTTATGTTTCCACACTGCTGTGGTTAACATGTGGTTATGTACTGACACAAAAATCACTTGGTTATGGTCAGGAAACGATCATGTTTTGGCTTATAATACCACTTTTTGGTGGCACAATCACAGCTTTTTATTGTTTCGTGCTTTGTGGTCTCAAGCAGTGGTCTGCAGCTTGGCAGCCGTCTCGCTTAGGTATCACGCCAACCAACATCCCCTCCACCTCCAGATGACAGCCCATATACTTGCAGTCTGAACTTCATCACTTTAGAAACATTGATATGATACATACAAATGTAACGTATCCATGGTCTGCAGAAATGTACAGACCATGGAGAGGCAGGGTACACCCTGGACAGGCTGCCAGACTATCACAGGGCTGACACATAGAGATAGGCAACCATTCATGCTCACATGTCTTGGGAGGAAGCTGGAGTACCCAGAAAAACCCCACACTCACACAGCGACAACATGCAAACTCCACACAGAAGGGCTCCCCCACCCCAAGTTCGAACCAGGAACCCTCTTGCTGTGGGGCAACAATGCTAACCACTGCATCACCGTGCCACCTCTTACTCATTTTAAGAAATAGGGATACACATACCAGGAATTTTCTAATGAAGCTTAGTGTATGGTGCTTCAGGAGGACTATCTTTATGATTCATCCACTCACAGTTCCGCTCTGTCTCACCCCCCCCCCCCCCCCCCCCCCCCCCCCCCCCCCCCCCCCCCCCCCCCCCCCCCCCCCCCCGCCCCCCAATCAGCTGATTATGAGTGCTTGCTCTTCCAGTTAAACAGTTAAACCAATCAAATTTTGCAACAGTCACTATCAGCCAGTGATGTCACTGCTGTCAATCTTTAAATCTGTTCTCCTCCCTGCTGCTGTCAGTTGTCATTTTAGGCAGAAACGTCGCACCATCCTCCACTCCAATCACCTCCAGTCATCATATCCAGCGCCCAGGTCGAGCTCATCAAAAGCCCACTCCTCATCACATCCAGATCCTCAGCACACTCTTCATTTTATAACTATCACCACTCTTGAAATATATGACATCACGAAGTGGTTCAAATGCCAACGACTATTCACATTAATCATCATCTCTCCTGATTGAAGTATTTGTAATCTATTTTCATGTGTATGCATCATAATTTCTATTGAACTATAATTTGAATACACTCGTAACTGTGTTAGATACAGTAAAAAAAAAGATGAATCTATATGCAAGCTACAACCTAAAATCTGCTTTCCTAACAAACTAACAATATTTTTTTTCTATTTTTTTTTTTTAACTACACTGAGCCTTTTTATACTAATTATGGCAACAAATAAAAAATGCTTTAGAATCAAAAATAAAATGCAAAACAAATGCCATTACTGACTAATACATCCATCAAATGACCTGCAGGTCACAGTTACCTCTCTGAATGTTATTGTTAAGGTTATACTCTTTCTCTCATTCTCTCTCCTCCGACTTCACTGTCACTGTCACTCATGTCACTCTGTCACAGTGGACGGCAGTAAGAGCAGGAAAAATGGACAGTCACTATCAATCAATCAGTATGATTTATTAGATTTGGGCCTTTTGGAAAGGTGACAGATTGCTGTATACAAGGGGGGAAAACACACACACTTCCCAGCTGTCTCTTGTACCCCTGAGTTATCTTGACACTCACAGTGGAGCTGCTAAACGCCCCTGCAACACACACATGCACATACTCATACACAAAATGTGCACCCACGTAAGTTTTTTTTAATAATGGCAGCTAAATTTGATCTCCATGTCCTTTTTTGCAGAGTAGTCCTTTTACCACCCCTGAGATGTGTGTGTTTTATATCCTGCTGACCTGCAGTGTGAACAGATCTGTATGCATGTTTTGTGGGAACCTGTAGTCTGCATTATATTGTATTGTATACATAGATGCACATTATATCAAGCTCAAAATATCAGTCTTATAATGCCATGGTTCAGTTTGATCAGCACAAGTATAACAAAAAAATATGTTTTTATGTTTAAATCCAACTAACCAGACAATGTGCAGTTTGTAAATACTCCCATGTTTGTTTCATGATATGACATTTTAGAAATTTGAGATGTTTTATACATTTTCTCAAAGGAGATACAACAGATTTTGGAGTGCTTATTTCACTGTCACAACAACAAACAGCAGATTTAATTTGTGTCTTAAAACTGCCTCCAGGTTCAAATGTATTATTTCATCTGCAAAGAAAATAGGATACCCACATCACAGTATTGTCAGTGAAAATATAATCCTTTGTTATGTTATCTCCTAGAGTTCATTTGTAGTTCATAAAAAATGTGTGCTGAAATAACAGCAACAATATCATGTGCAATATTATTCTTCAATATCATTTTCTCAGTCACATACAATACTACTTCTCATTATTATATCATATTTAATATAACATCGATTATCAGGAACAGTCTGTTTTTTCCACCATTTTAGCTCATTTTTAGTATCTCTAGCACTTATCGTACTCCTATTGTTTCTCTATGAGGCACTGGTTTTTGCTTCTGCTCCTTGAAAACACTTCTTATCTTGTACATTTGTATAGTTTTAGATATGTAATACTCTTGTTCTAAAACTGGGCCCACTGGAACCCACTGGTTGTCTGGTTGGTACTGGTTGTACTTTGAAGCATTCTCTGGCACAAGAATTTCCTTCGGGATAAGTAAAGTTCTATTAAATTGAATTGATTGAACTGAATATCATTACCTTGTCATTGATGGGTTGTTCAAAAAACATCACAGGTGTCTTTTGGGGAGTTTCTGATGTTTTCTTTCTGTCTTTTTAATTGTAATAAATAGTTTTCATTGGAGAGATGTACTGAAATATGCTCTCGTCATGCAGCTATTTAGTTGGCAGGCCTCTGGTGAACAGCAGACTCCTAAATTTAAAATGAACACCTGCCTAATAAAGAAATAGTGAATAAATTATATCGGAACAAAAAGACTTACAGCTGGTGTATATCAGCCCTCAGTGGCAGCAAATGCTGCAGTAATTATCCAAACAATTATTTTATACACAGTATGACCTAACAAAGCATGCTACATATCCTCCCTCCCTACATACAGTTGGGTAAGCTACATATTAATTTCACTGCACTACACAGTAAGCGTCTTACTGTAACTCCGCCAGAGTCCGTCAGTCATGCCCATGCAGGGGAAGAGCAGAGAGGGACCCATGCAGCAGGGAAGAGGCAGGCTAAAAGAAGGGCCAGAAAAGATATCGACACATACACCTACCCTGTAGTAGTCAGTGCTGTAGACGTCTCTGGACATGCCAAAGTCTCCGATCTTTACCAGCAGATTCTCGCCCACCAGGCAGTTCCTGTCAGAAAACAAACAGAACCAAACAAAACTAAGTGCGGAGCAATTTCAGCAAGATGTTGAGTGTGTGAGCAGTGTTTGGAAGGTTACTTTAAAAATGTAATATTTTACAGATCAAGCATTCTCGGAACCCATCGGCTGTATTCAGCGTCTGACTTCCAGCAGACGGTGAATACAGCCTCTGGGGGCAGACCCCCGATTTTTTGGCATTCCGGTTTGATTTGGGCGGAGGAGGCGAATTTCCGTTTCCAGACTCTACATTCACTGAATGTAGAGTCTGTATAGACTACAGATTAAGTTACCCTGTGAAAAATGTAAAAAGTAGGCCTAATATACTTTACTTTTCTAACAAGTATTTTAAACCGGGCAATAAACCTGAAAAATGTCAGAAATAGTCTGTGCCAAAAGAAGGCATTCCTGCATGGCAAAAAGATGCAAAGCAACAAGATGAATGTTTTATTTTACGTATAAACTTTTGCACGTAGGACATGCTCCTGGATCAACATCCCAAACATATTTCAGGACCAACAACCGATCACAGCCCTCTGACATCATCAGTGTCTAGTATTCCAAATTGAAGTTAGTACAATTTAACAAAATCCTCAGTGACATTGAACCAAAACCTTATAAGCTACTGCAGGGTTAGCGAGTAGTGCTAATGAATAAGCTTTCCAATAGGTTGAAATATTGTTCACTAACATTAAGAATAAGGATAATGTCATTTTTCAGTTGCAATAACCTACGATGGAGACATGGAAAATCATCACCATGTTGACTCTGGATAAATGTTTATATTTATGCAGGACCATCATCAACATGTTGATCCTTGATAATTTGTTAATGTTGATCATGACCATCACTGTCATGACGATCCTGAAAAGAATCGCTGATGACCATCACTGCTATGTTGATACTGACATGAACAAATGATCACAAATCAGCATGATGACAATGATGATGGGCCCGGATAAATCTAACCAAATCTATTCTGGATTGACATGGCAAAAAGGAGGGAAAACATGTTGACTGCAGGAATTTGTAACTGAAAAATGCTATTAACCTCACTCTTTATTAGTGAACAATATTCTAGCCTATTGGCAAGCTTACTTGTTAGCATAGCCTACCTAGTTAGCGAGATAGCTCGCTAATATTCTATTGGCATACTTATTTATTAGCATAGCCAACCTATTTGGCAAGCTAACTCACTTACATTCTACCCTATGAGCAAGCTTACTTGTTAGCATAGCCTACCCAGCTGGCAAGCTAGCTTGCTAATATTCTCGTCTATTGGCAAGCTTAGTCATTAGGATAGCCAACCTACTTTGCAAGCTAACTCACTAACATTAGGCTATACACTATTAGCAAGCTTAACTGCTAGCATAGCCTACTTAATTAGCAAGCTAGCTCGCTAATATTCTCGTCTATTGGGACGTTTACTCATTAGCATAGCCAACCTAAGTTACTTTGCAAGCTAACTTACTAACATTATACCATATTAGCAAGCTTAACTGTTAGCATAACCTACCTAATCAGCAGTTAACTTGCATACCTTACAAAGTTTTTGTTCAATTGTACTAACTTCAATTTAGAAAACTAGCTTATCTCTGAAGAAGCACAAAGAAATACTGGAAGAAGCACAGGAGCAGCACAGTGATGATATAAGAGGGCTGTGATTGGTTAATCCAAGAGCATGTCCTACTGAAAGGACTATATTCTGATGTAACCCCTTTATAATCACCGACCTTTTGATTAGTAATTGTAAATTTACATTTTTTTTACTTAGTTACTGTAGCTTATTAGTTTAGATGTCAGTTAATATTTCAGTAGTAATAGTAATGGTTTATCTCAGGTTAACAGAGTTTCACATGTTTTTGTTATGATTTTGTTTCATTACATGAGAATCTTTCACTCACTGTGGAACTCAATCAATCATAGATCATAGATATCTGTTGTTTTACAGAATATCCACTGTAGTGCTTTCTCTACTGGCCACACTGGCTCTCTGTCATGTACTGACTGATGGGACTGGATTGGTCTGTGCACCCATAAATTATGTCCTAATGAGTGAATTTACAGAAACCTCAAGGCAACCTATTACATTTGCAAAAATGGCCCCAAAAAAAGTGTGTTTTAACTTTGTCATTATGAGGTATTCCATAATGTAGAAGGGTCTGAATAAATTTCCCTGTATAATGAGGCGTTCACTAAAGTGGAAACAGACAACTTTTCAACTCCGCCCTTTAGCATTTCCAAGTGGTATTATTGTTGGCGTCGCTGTCGTAAAGAAAAAACAGATCGCCTTCTGTTTTCCTCAGAGCCTAGCAACTACCAGCAACACAGGACTCACTGCATTTTGTTTTACACTGTTAGTTTGGTTGTTCTACCATCCGCCACTTTCATGACTAGGGATAGTAACTGCAAATAACTTAAAACGATACAAAAGCACTATCCTATTTCTGTTTTGGTTGTACAGTGGTTGACGCACTTCCTTTGTGCTGTAAATCTTCATTTGCGTGGGAGATCGAACCAGGTGGCAGACAGACTTGCAAAGTGAAAGTGAGGCTTCTTGGGAACCAATCGAATCTCTGGTGGTTTCATTATTCTATAACCATTACATTGTGTAATCAACTTTTACTTTATAATGATAAGTTAAAAACAAAAAATCTTGGCTATTTCCAATTTAAGGCAATACAAGTAAAGACAGAGTGAAGTAACAGAAAAAGTGACAAACCTGGTGGCCAGATCACGGTGCACAAAGTGCTGTGATGCCAGGTAGACCATGCCAGATGCTATCTGCTGGGCAATGTGCAGCATCTGTGACTGGGTCAGCTCCACAGGTCTGGTTGTCTGGCCCTCTGCCATCAGAACTGCGTCAGGACCGTGAGCCCTGCGAGGAAACAGGTGGAGGTTTGTCACGTAAGCCCTGTTATTGTTTGGTGGAGTCATTTGTGTTTTCTGAGCAGCCTTGTATCAACTATATTACATCTGCCCCTCTCACAGAAAGCATTTAGAAGATGGAGCTGGATCTCTTTAAAACAGCAGGAGAATATTCTACTTCACAGTCTTTGTGTAACAATGCTTCTGATTTCAACATTTTTTAGAGAAATGCAAATTCTTCACTATAACTGTAGCTGCCATTTTGATAACATTTTGATGTAATGAAGGAAAAGATTCATGCCTGAGGAACTTGTTGAGGTCACCATGTTTCATGTACTCAAACACCATGATGAGAGGGTCGCTCTCCACGCAGACTCCATAGAAAGTGACAATGTGTTCGTGCTGGAGGTTGGTCAGCAGCTCAGCCTCACGGTGGAAATCCTTCCTGGCATTTTCACTGGCCTCTTTGAGCGTCTGCACGCACAGAGACACACACAGAAGTGACATTTTAATACACTGACAAATGAAAAACTCACACATTATGCCACGTACACTATTGGCAATTAGTCATCTTCACAGTGCACCCAGTCTGCTCCAATTTATTTGGCTGATGTCCACGAGGAAAGAAAAAAAGCGAGTGTCTTGCCTTGTAAAAGTGAGTTACAGCAACTCGGCACACACACTGTGAAATTACTGGCACTGAGCAAAGACTGATACAATGGCAGAGCAGGAACAAATTTTATATTAATGTAAGCCATTACAAAGTACAACACTGTTTACATTCATTATATTCCCTGGTTCCCTCTGAAACTAATCTTTTTCTTCCTTCCATGAATCAGGAAATCTGTCAGGGAGGTTGTGTAATGCAAGCATCTGTGACAGAGACAGAAAAAGACTGTGTCCGTGTGTGTGTGTGTGTGTGTGTGTGTGTGTATGAAAGAGAGGGAGGGAGGGAGGGAGTTGCAGGAAATGAAAGTGATACGGGGTCTGTATTCATGTCACATCAAAAGAAGAAATATATAGAAAATTCCTCTTGTCCTACATGAATAATTGATTGTCTTCCTACAGTATATGACATGGATATAAGTTCGCTTTCCACCTTGTGTGTGTGACTGTCTGTCTGTGTACTAACACAGCAGCTCAAAGCTCCTATTACAAATGTAGGTTTAAAGGACAAAAAGGAGTCACTTAAGAAAGCTCAGGAAGAAGGAAATGACCCGCGACCTTTCAGCTTTAACGCTGAGATACTAGAAAATGAGACGGACTGTAACTCCACCCACCCACATATTCAACCAGTCATATATCATGATCAAAGACTCAGTCCTGTACATTACAGGCTGTAATGTGATACTACATGATGATCATATGGTGAATTAATACAGTATGGATACTGTATAAAAGCCTGAGCTCCAATCTCAGTTTGAAATGTGATATCAGGCATGTATGGGAAATCTGGATTGTCTGACTGGGTTGACTTCTCTCTTGATGAGTTCCCACATGCTGAGAGTGATAGCCCATGTTAATAGATGTGTTGTTTGGATTCTTAAAAAGTTAGAGAACCCTTGTTATAAAAACAATGATACCACCTTTAGATTTAAAAATTGTAATTAATGGCTTTATTAATGGTCAATAAATCATTTACTGATGCTGTATCCTTTAGTTAAAAGCCATCTTTGTTTAGTATTAATAACATTAATAACATCTTTGTTTAGTATTAATAACAATGGTGTTGTCAATGTTGGCGATCCATTCATAAATAAATAGATGAGTTTTTTACTTTTCATGAGGCTGGCAAATCTGTAGTTATGAGTCATTCCATGAAACCAGTACAGTTTAGACTCTGACATTGTAAGATTTCTTACTGAAATGTATTAATTTTCTGAACACTGCAAAACATTACCAACATATTTAACTTCTGGATAATCATATTTTCACACCTTGGGCATTAAATCCTGACACTACTAAGTAGGTCAAATGAGGCGTCTTCTTGATATATACATTTGCAGATTCCACACACACACAGATTGAGATACAGTTACACAACTCTCCACACAAACTTGTAATAGTTTTGCAACAAAAATGACCCCTAGCTTGATGAACTAAAAAGCTATAAAGACAAAGCAAGTGTCTGGTCTCACTCCGAAGTCGTTGAAATCCGACACTTGGGCAGTGACTTGTGGCATCAGAAACCAACAAAAAAGGTGTCCTTTAACATCAGCTTGATACGTGGCCGGTTGCTGTTATAGTTTAACGGCGCCTGGCGGCCTCAGGGGGAAACGTGGTGGGACAAAGACGAAAGTTAAGGCCGCGAAAGCCCGAATGGGGCAAGCAGGAGGGGTGGAGGATGGGTCCAACAAACTCCGACTTTCACCCAAGAGAGTGGTGTTCACGGCCCGTGAGATTCTAAAGCGAAACACTGCCATATATGTATGTTGGTGAAGGAAAAAAAGTAAATTCGCGGTGTTGTACCAACGTACTGTGAGACTGCATGTAAATGTTAAATTTCATGTGAAAACAGAAGTTATTTTTTGAAAGAAGAGAACTTGACACAGTGTCCCAGAACATCAACAACCAACGCACCCAGGGTACCTTGCACGTTGTATGTGGACGTGGAAAGTCCATGACCAGAAAGTCAATATGTGATGAGGTCGGAGTGAGAATGTGTTGGAAAGAGGGAAAAACACCATCCACAACCTGGCAACCCACACTTGGTGCTTATAATTGTTTCCAACTTATCTGTGAAGCATTGTTAAATGACCTGTAAACTATTAATTAAGCTATTTGCAACTTATAAACCTTTACAAGGAGTGACTTATCAAAATAAGTCAAGCATAGGCTACTAAATAATAAATGTTAAATGGGCCAGCAGTTGTATAGTGCCTTTCCAGTATTCTGACCTCTCAAAGTGCTCTTTGCACGACAAGTCACACCCACACACAAAGCTACCTTACATGGTGCCATGTGCTGCTCAGTTTTTAGCACACACACACACACACACCAGTAGAACAACCATCGGCAGTTTGGGGTTCAGTATCTTGCTCAAGGATACTTTGACATGCAGACTGGAGGAACCGGAGATTGAACTGATGATCTCCTGATTATTGGACGATCCGCTCTCCCCCCTGAGCCACAGCCACCTATAAACAGCATTATTTACGTCTGACTGATAATGGTCTGCACAACTCATACTGCACTGTATGTGGGATACACTGTGCTCCTGGCACGAGACAATCTCTGATCCAAAATCTAATTAAAGAAAAACAAAATACTTTCTTTCCTGGCAAACACATGCTCTCAGTCTGCCAACTAAAACGGTCAGTGTATCAAGTGACCGCTGTAAAAAAAATATTGAGCAAACCATATTAATGCTAAATTCATAATCATCTACCTATGAAGTACCACGCTCTGAGTCTCCAAACTCAATACTGCCTTAAATTCCCAGGCTAAAAGCCATAATATTGCACTGTTAGTCATCAGGTCCGCTCACTCTCAGGTCCCTGGACAAATAAAAAGTAATCAACAGCCTCCATCCTGGGAATGTGGTGATACACATTTACATGTGTGAAGGAAACATTATTGGAAGTGCTACGTGCTCATGATTGATGGCATGCAGGAGTGGAAGCGTGTATGTATAGGCGCGTGCATATTTCTATGTGTATCTGCACGTGTTAAAGTGTGCCTGTGATCGATGGCACCTCAGTGTATGATATACAGGAACAGTAAAACTGGCTTCTGTATTATGGCTGACTGGCTGATTGATATCCGACTCTAAAACCAGGACCATTAAGCTCTATTAGCAAGCGCAGGTTATTGTAATGTGGTGTACATGTTTCTGTAATGTAACATGCATGACAGAGTGCAACATGAGTACAGTATGCACATGAGGAACAATGTACTTATGAGGGGAGGGTGAAGGCTTTGATGATGATTAAATGCACCAACACATCTTTGAGCTGCTTTGCCTACATACATATTTCTACTGAAATGTTGCACAAATCTTAAAGTGAACTTCCAGAAAGTCTGCAACAGAAAACACAAATCATTGTGCAGCAAGATTTCTTAATCAAAGTGCCAATAAGAACTGCTATATTTCAGTTTCCTGTACTAACTATACTAAAGCCTCTCTCTCACTGCACAAAAAACCCACTTACACCCGCCAACATCTGGCTCTTGTATTTAATGGGAAAGGTTACAATCAGCATTCACTCCCAGGACAAATGACTCTGCAGTAGTTACAGGTATTTATCAACTCCAGTTCTGATTGGCTCCAATTGATAGTGATGGAAGTATGGCACTCAGGTGGATGCGTTATTTTTTCCAGCATGATGCAATGACGCACCACCACAAAATACCGTCAATCCAAGCAGCGCTCCAACATCGTTCAAAATTAGTCAGCACAGATTGAAAGAGTACCTGATTAAGTAGCAGATATAAAAAGAAGTAACCACCGTAACAATTTACATTTACTTTGACTGTTTATAAGAGACATGTATGACTGTAGCCACGATCCATGTAAAGCCTACACAACAAGCCTCTACAAACTGCACCCACCATCAGTACAAGACAAAGCCACCAACTCAGCGGTTATTTAAACCCTGCTACAACATGACCGTGTTGTGAATACATGTGAAGCCACAGGTGCGTCATAATTCACTTTATTCATTAACTTCATTCATCAAGGAATTCTTATCAAAACTCATCAAATACCGCTGCTATGTCAATGGAATCGTCAAAATGTGATGCTGCAACTCAGTGGTGCCAAACTGGTGGGCTGCGGTCCAAATTTGCCTTGCAAATGTGTCAAGTTTGTAAAAAAAAAAAAAAATAAAAAAAGATAGATTGAGTGACTTATCACCAGCTACTTGACAGAGACAGCAAACTAGCTCAATGACATGGCTGAACTGGTCCTGTGGCTGGACCAGTTGGGAACTATTGCTCTAGGTAGCCTCCTGCATTGGTTATGGACATTTATGGACGGCATGTAAACTGATGGTTGTTACATCCATTATGTCTTTTTAAAAATGCACTTCTGTTTTCACAGGAAATGTACAGTTCCTGCTCGTTACATGCATACAGTCTTTCTCAGATAAAACTTCTCTTCTTTGCATTTATTCCCTTAGGTTTGGCAACAAAGCTCCATGGTTAGGTTTAGGCAAAAATCTTAGCGGTATGGCTTAAAATACATACAGTTCTTACTGACATAATGTCACGTACGCATATAGGTTACTAGTGTAGAATGCTTCACATAGCACACTACTTTGTTATTAAAATAACTCCACCGATTTTTGGTTTCATGGGTGAAACAAACAGCAGGCTCTCGGGTGAAAGTACGTTCTTTGTTTGATCCATTTACAACCCCTCTGGCCCACCCTATACGGACTTTCTCGCTCTTTATACTACAGTAGTTTCTGGCAGCATCGGAAATAGAAATGCGCGTCATACCAGCACAAAGAGTGTCTCCGTGTCTGACACAGACATCCACTGACAAGGAGGTGGTATTTGATAAGTTTGGCTGTGGCCAGCGGCATTAGAAGTAGTTGCTGCCCAGTGTGTATCATACCACTGTCATTGTGCATGAAGACATGATTCACCTTGTAAGTAACAAAATGCAACCCTTACTCTTCCCCAAACCTCAAATTTAACCGTCCGTCTTTCAACCACTTTATTGCCAGCTAAACACAAACTTCTGCTTTCTTTGTAACAATGGGCATCAATATTTAAGGGTCAGTCCATCAAAATCACCAAAAATCTGTGTTCCATCACAATGATGAAACATGGTGTAAGTTTTGGTTTTGTTGTCCAAGTTTTGACACATCTGTCTGTGAGATTTCTGCTTCCATCCCAGAACAACAAATATGAAAGGTATTTTGATTGTGGTGCTTCCAGCATTAAAAATAAAGACATCACTTTGAACAGTTATCATTTGAACTACCATACTCTCTACCAAAGCCCTTTTTAGTTTGTTTTATAATTCTAGTGAACTGACCCTTTAAAAGTGAAGGTAATGTCATCATTTGTTTGAGAAATCTACTTCCACCAGCTTTCATCACGTCTCCTCTTTGTTGATGCAGCAACAAGGAGGAGGAGGAGGAGGAGGAGGAGGAGGAGGAGGAAAAGACAACTGGATAGAAAGGGTGAGTCATACCAGTTGACAAAAAGATGAGGACGAAAAGAGCAGGAAGAGCTATAAGCAGGTGGTACATTAGCTAATTGAAAAGAAAAATCCAATGAATTGAGAGAGTTAAATCAATGAAGTGACTCCTAATGACTTAATGATTCATCTACATGCAACCACACCTATCTCAGTTTGAGAAACACTTTATTTTTAGTGTAAGTTGACTGAGCTGATTATATAATGTTTTGCTGTACAGATTTGATATTCAGCACAGCAACACGCAGCATCTTGTTCTACAACCAAGAACTGTGCTTCCTAGGATTTTCAGGTGCATATTTTACCGAGAGCTCAGACCGAGCTGAAGCTAAGCTGGCAGCAAACATCAGCGGGCCGGCAAGCGGTTTAGAGAAAAGAAGTGGAGGATTTGGGGAGAGGAAAGCAGCGGGATGAAGGACTGCAGAGGAGAGAAGAAAAAGTACTGCAGGTGAGAGTTAGAGGTGAGGCGTTAAAGACAGGAGAGGAAGTGGGGACAGGAGGAGAGGGAGGGGGGAAGGGGGGTCTCTCACAGGTCATGTATTGTTAATGAGAAGATCTCCACCAGTCAGATCCTGTTTCACCGCAGACCAGCAGAGAAAGCATCCTTGATGGAGAGATACATGGTGATGGCAGGATGCTCCCAGGGAAACCATTCAATTTGACCCCGGAAGTCAGCGGTTTGAGTGTAATTCCACCTTCTGCTTAAAGAGAAACTCTTGGAAGGAGCAATTTTCTAGCAATAGAGGAAATGGAGGCAAGGAGATGGCGAACATGGAGCCATTTAAAGGGGCATAAGTTATCTGCTGTAAACAGTATTTCAAATATATGTCAGATCTCGTTGCAAAATATATGGAGAAAGCAATAACTTCAGCTAAAATAATAACATTATAAGCTTTGCTTTGGTGCCACCAATCACTCTGCATCAGCAGGGCTTTTCAAAAAATCTCATTTTTGAAAGTTGACTCCTCATAAATACCTTCTTCGTGATGCAGATTGGATGCTGTTTTATTTCTTATTAGAGAGACAATCTGTCCTTCAAAGTCAATGAAATCTGTCTAAGTGATTAACATAGGTGGCTCTTAAACGTACATGGTATCATCAACGGGGACTTACAATGCTCATTTCGAGGTTTATACTTGTATTTTGGGTTTCTAGAAACCTGTTAACATGCTTAAACAGTCAAAAAACACTTTCTTGTCTTCATACAGTCTGTGCTGGAACACCTGTATTCACCCCCTGTCTGTGACGCTCCATTTTAGCCCTCCTCCTGAAAAAGTCCAGTCCGCCCTCCTGTGTCTGTCTCTGCACCATCATTGCAGCTAAGGGAATGATTGTACAGAGAATAGTGCCACTTTTGTTGTGAAAAATCACCAATCAAAGCTAAACCAAAGTGTTTACAACTGGACATGTTCCAGCAATAAGATCAGAATTTGGGGAGGCATGAACATCGACCGCCAAGATCTCGTGTTTCTCTGATGGAAGCATGTAGCCACATGTAGCAGTGTACAACCTCTCTCTCACATGCACTGCGAACCTGAAATTATCTAGACATTATCTAGAGGAGGTGTATGTGAGAAAGCAAATGTACGAATCAGTTGGATCAGACATTACATGGACTTTACCCTGCCAGCTCCCTGGTACAAAGTTTGTGTAATTAAGTCCATGTGTGAACAGAGCGGCTAATATTCCGGAGAATTCACACCGAGCATGTGGGCGTGTTGATGGCATTTCTATCATGCGGCTTGTGCAAAATCAGAAGCAAAAGAACATCCGCGGGTGAAGAAGTGTCTGTTCCATGAAGATGACAACAAAAATATCTGGAGAGACAATGAGATCTTGGAAACTCTGTCGGCTGAAGCTGAAATTGTCAAATTCAAGGAACAGCAGGAGCAAATGACACCGCCTCACTGAAGCTAACTTGTATCAACAGGTGCATTCTCTTAATAGGCATCACTGCTGCCAAAAAGATGCTAGCTTTACGCTGGAAACCTCCACACAGTCACAAAACTCAGTGGATTAACACATATATTGATATCATCAATGTGGAGCCATCATTGCATGGTGTAAGAGCTGGATCTCACAGAAATACGTGAAATTACGTGCCGGTACCACGGAAACAATGCCAATGTAAAGTCAGGATCCATTGTCGTGGTGTTGCTGGTATTATTTCTGCATGGCAAGAGATGTCAGATAAGATTAAGGAATTGCTGTAATTTTCACTTCACAACTAAAATTTTAGTTTCCTTTCATCCTGCACATATTACTGAATAAGGAATAAGTTTGTTTGCTATGTGCGTTGTGTTATATTTTGCTATTGCTGGAGCAAAATATCAATAAAAAGTTTATCACACACAGTTATGAGCTGACGTCAGCTTGTCTTGAAAGTAGGACGGAAAGTTAGAAACTGAGTATTCAGACCAATCTGAAGCCTGAAGTTTTTGCTCACATGGATAATTTTTTACATAAGTTTACCTCATTATTTGAAACGTTGGCACCACCTAATATGGACAACCAACACTGTAACATTATATACATGACAGACAATAAGGAAAAGCATGTGGTGGTGCAGTGGTTAGCGTTGTTGCCTCACAGCAAGAGGGTTCCTGCTTCAAATCTGGGGTGGGGGAGTCCTTCTGTGTGGCGTTTGCATGTTCTCCTCATGTCAGCGTGGGTTTTGTCAGAGTCTTTCTCGGGGTCTTTGGACTTCCCACAGTCCAACAACATGCAGACTAGGTTAACTGGTGACTCCAAATTGCCCGTAGGTGTGAATGTGAGTGTGAATGGTTGTCTGTCTCTGTGTGTCAGCCCTGTAATAGTCTGGCGACCTGCCTTTCGCCTGGTGTTAACTGGGAGGGCCCCCTGCGACAATCAACAGGATAAGCGGTTAAGGAAAATGATTGAATAATAGGAGCCCTTTAAGGACAATAAGGCAATTAAATGACTATTAGAGCAAATGCAGGAGGTCTGGGACTCTTTTTCTTGACATACTGTAGCAAACATCTTCTAAATAGCTACAATATAAAATGCCTGTGTCATGTCTGGATTCAACTCACTGCTGCTCTATGAAATATGTAGACCTGTAACTTTAATGTACCGTGTCACTAGGACTTTAATATTTGAACAGTAGAAAATCTATTTGAATTTCTCTGGAGTTTGCAATAATAAATAAATAAAAATAAGACCATTAAGCTCTGGGATTACCTTGACAGCCACCAGTATCTTCTCCTGGTCAGGTGAGAGGTTGTAACACTCGGCCAGGAAGACTTTTCCAAAGGCTCCCTCTCCCAGCTCTCTCTTCAGCACGATGTTGTGTCTCTTGATGTGCTGGACAACTGTTGAGCAGAGGAAAGACAAAAGAGATGAGAAGAGCTTCACACATAATGTGGCCATCTTGGTTTAGAAATGCTGTACACGTTAGTGGCTGCAAAAACAAGATGCCTGTTGTTGTGACACATTTTGTTAAATAAACAGCAGTTGTTAAACTCTGATAACATTGTGCCTCATTTAAATTAATTAGCTCAATTCATGTGAGGTTTATTAGCCTGTCTGTGTCTGTGTCATTACCACAGCAAGACAAAACTATGACACAAGTAAAATATGTTGTATTGTAGATTTATCTTCCTTTTGAGCAGCAGGCTGTGCTTACTCTATCACAGAAGTCTGTTTTTCTACAGTGGAAAGATGTTAGATGTATGGAGATTTTATGTTTTTAAAAAATGTTTCTCTGTTTTGCCGTACACTACTTTGATCCAGTTTTCAGTGTAATGTAAAAAAAAAAATGTGTCTGTCACTGTGTTTCATGTGCGTAATCTCTCCCTACCTTCTGCTCACCCACAGTTGGATCAGAGTCCACAAACCTGCTCTCTGTTGCTAAGTAACTCGTGACTCCATGCCAGCTGATTTTTTTTTTTTTTTTTTTGTGGAAAATTTGGCATCTTACCACAGTGATGATACAAGATTTTATTCTACAGAACGATTAACAGCGTGGTGCCCTTACTATAACCTGACTAAGCCCCGTCTTCTTGACTGCGGGCCAGATGTGCAACCGTCTGCATGCAAGGGAACACGTGTTATCCTATAATACATGCACTTGGGTACTCCTTGAACACACACACACACAGAGGGAGAGATAGAGACGGAGGACACCAAGACCTGAGATTTATCTGTGATGTGATTAAGAGGCGCATTTGAAGAAAAGCTGTCCACTCAGAATATCACATTAAAGCCCAGCTAGACTCTCAGAAGCTGAATCGATTTACACTGTGAGCTACTGAGGTCCACCATAACCCAATATTGTACAGACAGACAGAGAGGGGGAAAGAGGAACACATCCACCATGCAATGTATGCATGTTTGCATGTCTGCTTTGCAAACATACATGTAAACCCTGCCTCCTATAAATTATGCCTATGTAATGCTAATTTGTTTTGCAAAATAGGTTTTGGGGGGAAAATGAATTATGTTCTGTGGTTGCATCTTTTTAAGTGAAACAAGTTCTGCATACATGCTCACACAGAGGCAGTCATGGTGGATGTGACTGTGTAACAGCAGGGCTTTCACTGCAAAGATATTAGTGTGTATCCACACTAGACTCTAGTGTGTAGAATTTAGTTGGATTTAGCAGTGAGATTGCAGACTGTAACCAACTGAAACTTCTCCCTTGTGCTGTGCGTGTAAGTGAGCTATGGTGGCTAAACAGTCATGAAGTCACAACTGACTTTTTTAATGTGTTACCCTGACAATCAAACCCTGCTAAGTGCTTGAGTGCCAAGCTTTAGTTGCAACTAGAGGATTTTGCATCACAAGACAAACAGTGAAAGTTTTATTTTTACTTAAATATTTGTTATCTCAAGTATTGTTCTTCGCAACACACACATACACACACGCAATAAGAAGCTGCTGGGGTGTCTCCGCCACAGGAGGGCAGGGCCCCAAAGGGTGACACTCTGCTCTAAATCATTATGTGTTAAGGTTAGTGTAGCCTTAGTTATACACATTTACATTTTGGGGTTGCTGTAATTACTTAAGTTTAGTAATTTATGCTGCTACAGTATATTATGATAAGATATGTGCAGTAAATTGTAGCAGGAGGTATTTCACATTAATATTTTGGACTTGCAGAATGGAGTTTTATCATTACATAGCCTACCATAGGCCTAATTAGTTCATTATCATTTGTGGCATTTTAACTATTATTTATTTATTAATTTATATGAGTAAAATTTGCTTTGCTATTTAATGTCTCCTCTGCCTAATAGCATTCTTTGGTTCCTTCCTACCACCCGGCGAACAGGGAAAGTCAAATCAAACGTTGCTCATCAGCAGGTGCACGGCAGCTCTGGCTAACATGCTAACAGGCTAACGTGCTAACAGGCTAACGTGCTAACACGTTCATTGTGGATTCTACAGCAGTTTATTGAGGAGCTTTTACTTTCAGTGAGGTGTGTGAGGACTTTCTGCTGTTTGGGACATTAATGGAAGCGGGACAGAGAGGCTAGGTGGACTGGTTACACTGGGGCAGAGAGGCTGAATCGACTGGTGGAGTGGACTTTTGCATTGGGATGAAGGAGCAGAGGACTTCGCCTGCACGAGGCTGGCGGTCAGACAGGTGAGCACAACAACATGCGCTTGACAGGAAAACGTCACTGGGCAAAACACCACTGTGTTAACTGTGTGTAAAACCTGCAGCTCTTTTTTGTGGCTGTAATATGTGTTTGTGGCTGCAGCAGCAGCTGTGGAGCTTAGCTTATATGTGTATACATCTCTTATTGTCTGCTGTGCTGGTGTTATTCTGCTCATAATTCTATAAGAAGTGTCATGTTATAGCCCATAGCTCTTTTTATTTATTGTCCTTTCTGTTTCATTGTCTGAGTGTTGCCTCTTTTCTAGTTGATTCTGGTGACTTTACACAGACAGAGGCTGTTGTGTAGCTAAGTGATCATCACGTGTGCACAGGCTGAAAAAGTTCCCTCTCTGGAAAAAAATATTGTTGGTTTCATGTTACAAATGAGTGTTTGTCCAACAATATTTGGCACATGGCACACAGGCCTCTAGACCAGCAACTCTCAAACCTGTGCTCACCTTTATTCTCTGATAACTTAACATCCAGGGGCTGGTTGTATCAAACACCGTAAATTAAGATTAAGTCCGAGTTAATGTGGTCATGTTGTCATGATCTGAATTAGTGGTTCAGATCGTTTTCTTACTGTACGTAAGGGCTTATACACTTTTGTATAGTATGTTTTCCTTCATGTGCTTTGGTTTTATGGTGATGTCACTGTTTTGCTAATTGTGCTTTTGTGTGTTTGTTTGTGGCTATGTGCTCCCTGTTGTAATTTTGTATAGTATGTTCTTATTGTTTTTGGTTATATGGTTATGTCATTGTTTTATTAATAGTGCTTATATCTTGTTTTTACCTATGTGCCTTGCTATGTGCTTTTGTCTGTGGTAATCTGTTTGCTCTGTGCTTATGTGCCCTTCTATGGACATTAACATTACATTTACATGACTAAAGTGATCATATTAATTAATGTGTACTGTTTCTTTCTAAATAAACAGAAACATAGGGTGTCCTTGAAATGTTCAATTAAGTATTTATGGTGTTCTCCTTGTCTTGGACTTATACTTAAGGAATCCCAAGAACGTTGCACAAAAGACCTTAGCAACCAAAGCAAGGTAAAAAAAAAAAAATCCCCACAACAACCAAACATTTAAGGTACCTCTGACTCTTATCAAAACTGCTACATGACTGAGTTTATGGGGATAAATGAGAAAAACTAACACACTAAGAAGAGAGTTCTGCGACCAGACGAACCCAGTGGATACGCTTTTGATTTTACACTTTAGATTTGACTGAGTTCATTTTCATTGCAGTTTCTTCCTACAATCGTTTTATATTTCCTGGTATTTGAGGATCAAATTATGTTTGTATTCCTCCAGAAGTATAATCTTTTCCTCCTCTAACCAATAGGCTATGGTTTCCTTTTCTTCTTCTGCCATTTTTTCACTATCTAACTATAAGCCAACTTTGTGAGACGATAATAGGCATCACAAGTGCAAACTGAAGCAAACAAAATATCCCTATGGAAACTTTTACCGCTGTGAAATCTCTTTCAGTGCTGTAAGTGAGTTAACATTTTTCCTAACTAAGGAACCCTTTTAAAGGATTCTGTGCAACTGTGCAAGTCCCTAGGCTAAGGAGAAATTAAGCCTTACGTGTCATACTTAAGGAGAAATCTTAAGGTGTTTTGTGCAACCGGTCCATTCAGGACGTTTTTAGGGCAGTCTCTTCCCCTCCGAAACAAACGGACTCAGTGATTTAAAGCAGTAAAAACACTGAATAAAATAATTTCACATAAAAACAAGTGTTTTTCTGGTGCTGCTTGTCACAGAAGGGCTGTTTACTACCCACGTGAAAACAGGAATGCCCTATGACAACCCTATCTAGAGTCAGTGTTTGGTTTGTCCCTTCTGGGCTACTGTAGAAACATGTTTAAAACAAATTAAATTACAAATTAAATGTGTTGTCACTTCACACTTTGCAGATGAAGTATGTGTAAATTAGTACCATACTGTATAAACATTGTGTTTAAAGGAGATAGGGTTCAGTGTGTGGAGGTATTACTGTGGCTCAAGGTCAGTGTTTTCACATAAACACACAGCATGTTAAATACACTGTGTATTGTGTATTCATCATGACATAATTGTCTACAGTTCAAAAACAACAGTAGCAGGTCACAGATCTCAGTGCACCCACAATTCCCTGTGCAGCAGCATCAGCACACAATAAACCCACATCCCCACAAGCCAACTACCCACTATTTTACCAGCTAATTACCTCACCGCACCATTTCCTACTGTGGTTGTGTAATGAGCGTTCACCCATGAAAACGCCTCGCATCACTTCTCCTTAATTAACACCCTCAAATAGCAAATAAATTGATGTGTGCAGACCAATGTTTCCACTACTGCTTTTGCTTTCTTTGTCAGGAAGATTTGGTGTTGTCCTCCCTGCCTCTCCTGTTGTTTTTTACAATTTGTCTTTATTGTTAGATTTATAATGTGCCATTGCTGCTAATTCTGCATTCATGTATTCAAGAATTTTCCATAATTGCTGTGCATAGCAATCAAGAACTTTCAAAATGAAGTTATTTTATTTTTTATGGCCCCATATCGCTCATGAATTCTGCTTTCCAGCTGTCTGCCTTTGCCAATTTTACACTCCTTCTTCCACGCTGCTTTCATTATTAAACTGTATCTCTTTGTGTGCTGCAACACATCACCCGTCTTCTCCTCAATCAGTAGCCTTAATTAAGATCTACAGAAATATTATTCCCCATTTACCAAACTTTACACTCTTGCTCTCTGATGTTTTTCTTAATTAGTACCCGTTTTCCATGCTTATCGTATTTGCTCATTCTCCCTCATTTAATATCCCTCCATCCAGCCTCATTATCTTACTCGCACTTTCCTTTTTTTAGCATCCTGCTGCTCCAGCATTTATTCCTCACTGTTGCCGTTCCCGTCATCTGCTAAACCTATCACTTTTTAATCAACATCCTCTAAATGCTAACATCCAGGCAGGCACACATACTTCCCCCCTTTCTGCAGCTCCATCACTCTGCTCCCGTCGCTTGTTTGTGATGGCGCTTACAACATTACCATCAAGAGGAGTGATATTCCCCATCAACCAACTCCTCTCCCATGTTTTTCCATCCGTCCTTTTCCTTACTCCTCTCCACACCTCCCTACAGAGCCACCTCACACACCTATCCCCCTTAATCAGCTTCTTATAAACAACCAAAGAAATTAATGTCTCGGGACATAGTTATTCCCCATTTTCCATCTGCCTCTTCTTTCCTTCCTCCTTCTTTCATCTGCCCAGAATCTTTCCATTAACCTGGATGCTGGCATAAAATAGCATGGAAATTTTGTGTTTGATAGTTTGAACCGAGCAATGCGATAGGTCAAAGATGCAAACATGTATGACAGATGCTTTGAAAGCAGGACTAACAGGAACATTTTCTCTATCTGATTCCTCACGCAGTTAATGTCATGACTCTGATTTCTCCCTTTCTTTTCCAGTGCACCTCATTCCACCGCTCCCAACTGTATGCCCTCCTATCAGGAGGTGTAGCTAATTGTGACCTAAATTTTCATAAGCTTAGCGTGTGTGTGCGCGTGTGTGTGTATGGGTGTTTTCAAGTACTGTATGCGTGTGTTGACGTGTGAATAACTTTTTCCAGAACAATGTTAATCCTCATTCCCTGGATACAAAAAAATACAAACCCCAAAAGATCTGCTGGGATGGAAACGGTGGAAAAATTGAGAGATACTGTACACAAAGCCAAGAGGACGGTGTAACATACCAGAGATGAAAAAAAGAAAAATCTCTCCTTTAGTTCAGGGCTATAGTTACTACTGAAAAGCTGAGGTCAAATCCTCTGTATTCTCTCTCTGAGTTTAAACACTTCTATTTAAAATTTGGAATTCAGGGTTGAACAATGAAAAACTAATTTGCTTTTTTGAGGCTCAGTATGCTTGTATCTTCTCCTGTAAGGGACACTTTTCATATTAGCTTTCATGGTATAGTTAGATGAAAGGATTGATATTACTGTCATATCGGCACAGTTAGCTCAGCACAAAAGAAGTAAACTGCTTGGCCAAGAAATAGTCTAACATAACTCAAGTTAAACCAGAGCATGTCATCCTACACTTTGGTTTTAGCATTCATTTTTCAGTTTTAGGGGTACTGGTAGGGTCAGCTGTTTTCTTCTGTTTCCAGTCTGTATGCAAAAAAAAACTATATCCATTTTCCTGGATAATACAGCTGCACAGTGTACACTTATCGTACATTTATATTATTAAAATCAGGCTAATGTATGCCATGCCTATGACGCCTGATGCTTGACAATGAAATAGCTTTGTATGCATTAAGAAAAAGAATCCCTGCATCCAAGCTGTTACTTAATGTTAATTTATTTGTTTTGCTTTTTTTTACAAAATATAAAATATAATACAAAATATATAAAATATAATTTTTTTAATTATGGAAATTATATATATATATATATATATATATATATATATATGCCAAGAGTGTGCAAAGCAGTAATCAGAGCAAAGGGTGGCTATTTTGAAGAAACTAGAATATAAAACATGTTTTCAGTTATTTCACCTTTTTTTGTTAAGTACATAACTCCACATGTGTTCATTCATAGTTTTGATGCCTTCAGTGAGAATCTACAATGTAAATAGTCATGAAAATAAAGAAAACGCATTGAATGAGAAGGTGTGTCCAAACTTTTGGCCTGTACTGTATATATAATACAAATTGCATATTTTCAATATTGCAATCATATTGTATTGTGACTGAAGTAATGTGATAATATCGTATTGTGGGACCTCTGGTGATTCCCATCACTATTTTAAAAAAACGAACCCTCAATGTAATCTTTTTGGCCACATTAACGTCTTAAGGGAATCTCTCGGTCCTTTTAAGAGACTATTCTCTAGTGTGGGTTGCTTCAGTGCAGCCTTGCTTGAGTTAAATGAATTAACTGTACTCCATTGAGTGTTTATTATAGTCGCCTGTGCTTCTTTTCCATGGATTAGGCTACATTAATATCTTACTGTTATTGGCCTTTTGCTTGTGGGACTGTTGTTGTGGTATGGTGAGTGTGGTTGTCATCGGTTCTGCATCACTATCTGTCGCCGCGGTGAAACACGATGCACCAGTGCTCATAACTTTGGTAATTAACATAAATAAACAGTCTCATATTGCATTTCACTTTCATTTATGGAATGTGTGTGAGGTGTTTCTCTGTGGGCGGGGCTCAGCACCCTGCTCTTGTACACACACAAGACCTGAGTGGAGAGATGAGAGACAAACTGAAGAGAGGTGGAGGGATGACAAAGGCCACACATCCCTAAATGTGGTGTCAATCTTCTCATTTAACTTTCAGCAACAAAGGAAATAGCTAAGCATATGTCCAACTATTCCTTCAAGGCTAATAAAATAAAAACCTCTAATCAGAATCCCCAAAAACTGTCCTGAGAGCTGCTCCATTTAAAAAAATCTTCAATAAAGGAAACATTAAAAATCCAAATTATTAAAAAAAACAAAAAAAGAGAGAGAGACTGTTTTGGGTTCTTTTTGGGGTTGTTAGTGGGAATTGTATTGATGACTTTAGTATTTCTAAAATCCTTATTACCGCCCTACTTCAGCTGCTTGACATGCACACTAACAGCCTGTGTGCATGTACTGTATGCTTGTAGTTATAGAAACATAAACACAGTATTTATAGCCTATGCAAGTCCATAGGTGTTTCACCATAAGTCTTTGCTGATGCATATGACACGCTCTACGATGATGCCTGCTCCTTGGATGTTATTATTGTTAATGAGGTGTTCAAGTAAGCTGCACAACAGAGGCTTTGCAGCACAGCTAACAGTTCCCGTAATTTAACTCGGATCTATCATCTCTGCAGAGTAATTGCTGCTTTATTGCTGCCAGGAAGAGGCCTGTGCCATCTTTAAGTAGAAACGTGTATTCAATATTACAGGCCGCAAGCTGGTTAAGGCCACTGTTTTAAAAGGAGTGCAGTTCCTGGCGTGCAACCCAGTGCCACTTTGCCAAACTGTCTCCATCAAAGGCTATTGCTCGGGTCGGAGGAGGCTGAGTGCCAAATAATCGGTCAGATACTCTCAGTATTTATGCCGCCTGTCTCAGAGTCAAAGAAGCGTACAGAGTAATAGTTGTAATGGCTGTCATATATTAAAAACACACACTCAGGCACATACACATACGCAGCAGTTCGTTATTGACTTTCATTGATCCTCCGAGCTTTCATCATTGTCTTTAGGCTGTAAATCCCAGTCTATCTTTTAGTTAGACCGCACCACTGTCAACCCCCGAACCCCCCCATTATTATGTCCCCTTCAACCATGCCCTCAAAAGAAGAGCACACACACACACAAACACACACACACACACACACACACACACACACACACACACACACACACATACATGTGGTTCCATAATTTACTGCAACACAAGGCCAGTGCCTGGAGAGGCTTTTATTGCTTGCCAATAATCCTAATGTCATGTTGATGGACCAGGTCAATATCCTTGTGTTCTCTCTGTCTGTCTGTTTGACTGTTGCTCGCGCTCTGTCTCCTTCTGTTCTCCTCATGTTTCGCTTTTCTCCTATTTCTGGTCGTCTCTTTCACCTTTCCACTTTCTGTGCCCTTTTGTCTTTTGCTTTGTTGAATTTGTGGTGTGCGCATGTTGTGCGGTTAGAAAATTGGCAGCTGGTCGCCCTCAAAAAAGAAAAGAAAAGAAACATCAACTACCTGTAGTCTTCCACAGACTCTTTCAGCCTTCAGCTCTGGTAATGTATGTGTATGAGTCATACATGGATGTCTTGAATTTATGAATGGATACGTGCCTAACGTATGCCCGAGCACATAGACACACACACACAGACACACACTTGCATATAAATAGACTTTCTATTTCCCACTTCTCCCTCAGAATTGACAGCTTATCATCAGCAGCTCCAAGGTCATTGCCATGACAGCAGAAAGGATGTTGCCATGGTAACCTCAGTGCATCACACAAAGACAGTTAGTTTGACTACTTTGGAGTATACAGCTCACAATGGATTGATAAACATATTTGACCGTGGTTAATTTGGCTGCACATTAAAGATGATTTTTATCTTTTATTTACTCACATGTGTCAGTTTTGAGCAGGCTGTTTGTGCTCCTGAAGTACTGAGGGTTTTCTATCACCGGGATCTTGGTCATGCCGATGATCACCGCGTCAGGGCCCATCTCTGAGGAAGAGGGAGTGTTGCTGCCGTTGGAGACATGGTGAAGAGGAGAGGCGGAGTCATCATCGTTACTGATGACGGAGGATGGTCCTGAATGAGCAGAGAGACAGAGAGGGAGATCAGTTTGTTTATCTCATCTTCACGATGAGGCCCTGCATGTGAGACAGAGCAACATGTCAGTACACATGGCAGCCATGTTAATAGCATAAGGACATAAGGGAATTAATTAAGTTGTTAAGCTGTTATTAGCAGAGATTGAGGAGATGAGATCATAACGTGGGAGGTTAAGCTCTTATTATTGATCACAGTAACATCTAGGAGAAGGAGAGAGAAAGTCAGTCATACATTATAACATTTGTTTGAGTGTGTAACAGTGTTTAAGTACTCAAAATCAGTCATGGTCTCCAGACTGCTTGTTGAAGGTCTCGGCCTTGTCTTGGAATCAACTGCCTTTTTTTGAATATAGATGGGTTGATTTCAACTCCATATTGTTTGTTTGTATTTGTTTGCTCATAGCACACAAAGGAACATTTCCACACATAAAATTCACCTCTGCAATACTTTTTGATTATTTCATCAAGACATTTCCCATGCTACACTCACTCAGACACACATATGTACGTAATATGGCAACAAAAGAGGTGAATGAAGATCAAACTTAAATTGTTTCTGTGGGTGTTTTTATGGGAATGTGGATCTTTAACATCAGTTGGAGGAGTGCCTATGGTTTGTTTGCTCCACAGGTTATTGTCTTGCAGTGTGAAACTCGTACTGGGTCAGGTCTTGGTCATGACTTGGTCTTGGTTGAGGTGGTCTTGAGTACAACACCGGTGTGTAAGCTAGAAAATGGACAGTGACTAGTGATGCGTGGGTCGACCCACAGCCAGTGGGGCCTGCAGGCTGACCTGTGGGTGGGGCGGTTTGAGTAAGCTTGTTATAAAATATTGTGGGCAGGTGGGTCAATAGGTGGTATAAATCTCTGCAGTCATAATGTCCGGTAAGCAAGCGTCTTTCTGTCCACACAAAGTCCATTAAAAATGTGTTTCTGTAATGTCATGTAAACTTAGAGCAGATTTTAACAATGCTATTTAGACAGAAACAGTCTAAATAGCATTGTTAAAATCTGCTCAAAGATCACAGGAGTGATACAATGGGACTTGACAAAACTTTTTAGTATTTAAAGATTCCTTCAGAACTCCTTGGCATATTTTTTATTTCTTTTTATTTATTACTCATCTATTTTTGTGTCTACATGTTACTGTATTTAATGTTATAGCATGTGTGCAAGGCAAGCTGTTCAAACAAATTGCCCCTGGTGGGATTAATAGAGTTGTCTGGATTCTGAACAAACCACTGTACCATTCAGCTGTGCTCTCATGCAAACAAACCACATCAGATGTCAGCTGTGCGCTCGAGATCTTTGGCTACTTTTAGACGTAAACACTTGAGATTGGTGAGTACTTGCTGCCTGCCTACGTTTGTACTTTATTAGCAGAAAAAATGTCTTATGTTGTGACATTTAAGCCGACTGGAAATGACTTATAGAGTCAAAAGCAAGCACGTTACTAGTGATGGTCATTAGCAGGAACTTTCAGCTCTGGTTTGTGGGTTTATGGGTTGGTTTCGGGTCACTAATTATCATATCATAGAAGTAGAGTTACAGTTTGTTACTATCACACAGGGCTCCAAAGAGTTAAGGGATCAGTATGCTCCGACCAAATGCTCAGTGCTTGTGTGATGGTTGAGCAGTGTCTGCGACACCCTCCCCCCACTGCTTTCTGATGTCAGCGCTGGGGCGAATTTCTGTTACTCGCCAAAACCGACAATTTTAAAGGATGCCAACACAGAGAGCAAAGAAAAAAAAAAGAGAGAGAAAACAGGGTTGTCCAGCAAAAAGTCGAACCTGGCTCAGTTTTGAAACATTTAGTAAGCCGCTGTACAGGCCAATGCACATTCCTAGTAGATGATTTTGTTGCGTTGTGTTTCAGCTGTTATCCCGGTGACTGTTCTGACGAAAGATAAACTAGTTGTCGCCATGATAACTTTCCATAGCAGTAAAATCTGTCCTCATATTACAGTGCAGTTTTTTTAATACTTACAATCCATCAAACCCATGGATCTGTCACTCCATCTGAACTGAACCAAGTGGATCTTATTTCCTTTCTCACCAGTATCGGACACGCAGCCTCGTACATTTCTTAAGTCGAGGCTGTTTTCAGTCCGATCACCCACTTATTGTGTTTCAGAAAGGCGTTCACCCCACATAACTTTCTCGCTGTGGAGGGGTTGGAGGGAAGTATATCCTTGGGCTGACCACATGAGCCTCAATGCACCGGCCAACACTCACACATCTTCATGTGTAACAGCTCTGTGAGAAGTCAGAGGAGGACAGACACTGCCATCTAACAAACTTACACTATGTAACTGTTTGTAGGATATATTGATGAGGAGGCAGCTACTCTCATATTGCTGACTCAGGTCATTTTGTTTGGATGAGAACAAATTTGCGAACTTCTTTGCTGGGAAAATGAGTGACTAAGCTCATAAGAGTCCCATTAGAGGGCCAAGCCTGTAGAATAGCACTAGGTACTTTGTCAACAGCGGTTGTTTTCATGTTTGAGTGCTGGGTTATTTTTTTAGGTCAGGCTCTGCAGCATTTAATGATGAAGTCAAAGAAAGAGAGCGATGAAAGAGTAGCTCTACAAAGCTGGAGGGTAACCCGGGGAATTAATGTATGCCCTCAAAAAGACGAATGCCAGTAATCGAGGAACCTGGTGGAGTAAAATCCAAGAAGTAGGAAATCCAGATCCAGTGTTCTCAGTTGGTTCACTGCTATTATCTGGTGAAAACATCTCCGGAGAATAAGCCTTTCTCTATCAAAACTCACTCTTTTAGTCCAAGTTAGAAGACACTGGGTATTAAAATTCATGTTTCATATGACAGACATTTTTGAAGGCAAAAATGCAGTAACAACATGAGGCATGGCTCTGGAAACAGAAGAGAGGTGGGATGGCATGAGTCAGACATGGAGCCCAACCCTTTCACAGAAAAATGGTTTGTTTTGGCAACAGAACAGAGGTGTTATTAGTTTCTAATTAAGACAGTGAAAACAGTCCGTGAAGCTGATTCCATCTTCACAAGTTTGTCAGTTGCAGTCCTACACCTTCATGACATCACTGCTAATTTTCTGTGTCTTTAGGTTGAGTGCCAAGGCAAACAATAGCAGCACTAAATAGCAGCTACAGTACATTTGCAAATGCGTACTGGCACACAGCAACGCTCACTCTTTCCCACTTATGGATACACACACACAAAGTAAGCTACAAAACACTTTATAAACATAACTGTGTGGGCTTCTTTCAGCTTTAAAGATAGGTTTGCATTTTTTAAAAGTGTCTTAAAACACATGCCTGTATGTATATTAAAAGCATTACTGGTTGCTGTAATTGTTCCTTCTGTTAAAATGTGTAATTGGGAGGTTGGGTTGGATGGATGGGTCAAAAAACAAAACAAAACAAAAAAAGCCAAACTTTTACATAATAGACCGCTGTTTTTTTTTACCATTTCTACAAGTCAGCATTGTTTTTTTTTTAAGTATGAGCATTCCATAATGTTATTCTCATTGTTAGACCTTTCACTGTAACCGTGACAATGAAGCTCCCTAACCTTAACTAAGCTCTTGTCTACATGCAGACAGATATTTTTGAAAACCTTTATTTTTATAAACATTTTGGCCTCTCTTCCACATGTAAATGGAGTTCTTGAAGATGCCCACTGAGGTGCATATTTTTTCAAAACTTCAATTACTTAAGCCCCGTTTCCACGGCAAACTTTCAGTATGGTACCTTTGGAACCAAAAGTAATCCCACAGACATGGTACCTAGACTCGTTACCAAAAGTGTGTGTCATATAAAAATTAATGGAATGGTCAAAGTTTTCACAGTGAAATTTAAGGTGTGTTGATGGATTCATGTCTTCAACTCATGCATTGAGTAACATAACAAGTAAATGTTACACCTTAAAAGTTGCCTGCGGTTGGCCCAGTGAAAAAGTTATTTTTTCTCAGTCTACAGCTGCTGCAAGAGGCAGCAAAACATTCTTTCATTTTATAATTAAAGTCTACCGATAAAACTCTCCACAGTATGAACAGTGGTTACATGAGCCTCAAAACCAGCCACAACTAAGTCCTGAGCAGAGTGACCAACTGCTATTGACCAATCAACGGACTGCAGTGTTCACAGCTCCACCTTTTAGTACCAGATCTGTGTGCTAGGTACCCCAACAGAGGGGGGACCAAAATGGGGACGGTACTGAATGGTTCTATTGGTACCATCCACAACTTTTCACAGTGGAAACTGTACTGCTTGGCAGAAATAGGGCTTTAGTATCCATGTGGACATGTAAAATGGAGTGCTTGGGAAATGCTGATATCATCTCCTCATTTTGCACATGCCCATTGTTGATTTGGGTAATGAGTATGTGCCAGAAATAACAACAACAATGGTGGACTATCTGTTTGTTCACATTTTTTTAGCACTGTTAAGTCTTATGATTACTTTACATGTTAACCTAGTGTTGCTCCACTACTCCATGGACAAACGGAGGCATCTACTGTGCCCGATGTTATTTGGTCCATATATGCAGTAAAGAAACTACAGTTTTGTATATTCTTCAATAGTATTTGATGTATTGTTGATGTAGTCTTTATTGCTGTCTAATTGCCTGGGAAATGTTTGGATTAATTTTTGCGTTCTGGTGTGGATGGAGATAGTTTCTAAAGGAAGATTGATTGGAGAGGGGAAATCCATTTTCAGAAATATCCATAAATATGTAGACAGGGCCTAAGCACCATGATTTTTGTCTAAATCTAAACAAACTTTAAAAAACAGTGTTTTCACATCTTAAAACAGACTCTTTCAACAGGGACGGAGACGATTTTGGAAGACACAGACACATTATGTCATCATACAAATTATACAGCCAACCTTGTGAGTGTGTACATGTATGAGAGTGTGCTTCTGTCCTGATAGCAAACAAGCTCACAAGGTTACAAAGGTGAGAAAAACTTGCCAAAGCATTGACATTTCCAC